AAATTACCTAGTACAATCATATTTCTTTTGTTTGTAAAAAAAAACTACTAAATTATGTTTATAACACTCAGAAAATCACTTTACCAGATTTCTCAAACTTCCGATAGCTAAATGTTATTTTACCCTATAAATTATCAAGCTTTATTTTTTTTTAATATTCTAATATTTTTTCTCTTTTAATTTATATAATATACTTACTTATAGAGCAATAAATTTATTTATGTATTAAAAATAATAAATAACTTTCAACCATTTATAATATTGAAATATTAAAATAAATGAGTACAATATAAATTTCAATTAATATTATCTTGAGCCATGAATGCTGGATTCAATGCTGTATTTTTCAAAAGGGCATGGGGAAGTATAGGAGAAGAGGTGACACAGGCTGTTGAGGAGTTCTTTGATACTGCACAAATATATAAACCAACGAACTGTACTGCCATAACTTTGATCCCTAAAGTCAAAAACCCTACAAGTATTAAAGAGTTCAGGCCCATTTCATGTTGCACAGTGATTTACAAGGCGATTTCTAAGGTATTAACTAAAAGGCTACAGTGTGTAATGGATGATTTGGTTGATAATACTCAGGCTGCCTTTGTACCTGGAAGAGCTATCACAGATAATATTATCTTGAGCCGTGAATTGGTTAAAGGGTATGGGAGGAAAGGAGTGTCTCCTAGGTGCATGATGAAGCTAGACATGCAGAAAGCATATGACTCAATAGAGTGGGAGTTTATGAAACAAATGCTGCATGCCTTAGCCTTTCCAGCACAGTTTGTTAGATGGATAATGAGTTGTATGGGGACAGTCACATATACTATTCTGATCAATGGGGTTCAAACAAGACCCTTTGAAGCAAAAAGAGGTTTAAGACAAGGGGACCCTCTGTCCCCTTACTTGTTTGTCCTTGCAATGGAGTACCTGACAAGAAGGCTAAAAATGCTCAACAATAATCCAGACTTTAACTACCATCCCAAGTGTGCAAAGATGCAAATCTTGCAACTTGGGTTTGCTGACGATCTTTTATTGTTTTGCAGGGGAGATTTGAAGTCAGTCCAATTATTATTCAATGGTTTTCAAGAGTTCTCAACAGTATCTGGGCTGAAGATCAACAAGAATAAGAGTTCTTTATTTTGTGGAGGAGTCACACAAGAGGACCAAGATAAGATATTGAACTTCCTCAGAATACAGAAGGGAGATTTACCCGTGAGATATCTAGGAGTTCCACTAAGCACAAAGAGAATCTCCATAGCACAATGCCAACCCTTGATTGAGAAGATAGTAGGAAGAATAACATCATGGACTGCCAGATTTCTATCCTATGCTGGAAGAATACAGCTTATCAAAAGTGTCCTATTTTCTGTGCAGACATACTGGGCACAAATATTTGTGTTGCCTAAAAAGATTACAAAGTTAATAGAGGCTATTTGCAGGAGTTTCCTATGGACAGGTGAGTGCAATGTGTCTAAGAGAGCACTATTAGCATGGGAGAAGATTTGCATGCCCAAGACAGCAGGAGGGTTTAACATCATGAATATAGCACTGTGGAATAAAGCAGCAATATGCAAACATTACTGCAATCTATGCAGAGAAAAGAATAAGTTGTGGATCCAATGGATTCATAGCTACTAAGGCAGAGATGTATGGGGTATTCAGGTGAAGCAAGCATCATGGATGGTGGGAAAGATACGAAAAGCACAGGAAACACTTGTTAAGGCAGGATTCAACTATAAAGATGTTAAGAGAATCAAGAAGTGCAGTATAAAAGAAATATATCACAGGCTGCGTGGCACATTTGAAAAGGTGAGATGAAAAAAAGTCGTATGCCAGAACGCAGGATGTCCACGATGGATTTTCCTGCTAACATTGACGGCTCATGGTAAGCTATACACGAAGGATAGACTACAGAAATGGGGTATGCATGTAGAGGCTGAATGTGTACTTTGCAGAACAGGGAAAGAGAGCGTTCATCACCTGTTTTTTGAGTGTGAATATTCAAAAGCACTATGGAGCAGTATGTTAGCGTGGCAAGGAGTTAGTAGGGGAATACAAGGATGGGATCAAGAGTTGATATGGGTTGTACACATAACCACGCAAAGGAACCCAAAGTCAGAACTGTTCAAGATGATACTAGCTGCAACAGTGTACTATGTGTGGCAAGAACGAAATGCAAGAATCTTTCATGCAAAATCAAGGGGATGGGAAGCACTATGCAAGAAGATTGTGCAAGAAGTTCATTGCAGAATAAACAAATACTTAGAAACAAGGTTGAATACTCTTAATTGGTATCCTTGTAATAGATAGATATATGCTTTATGTTAAAGGAGGGGAGGGGAACATAGAAGAGTAGGATGAAATGTATGGGTTTCGTATTTCTTGTAAATATTCTTTTTCCTGGTAAACAGAATGTTTAATTACCAAAAAAAAAAATTTAATTAAAATAGTTTCTTTGTAAGTAATTTTAATAATAACAACAAAAACTCAAAATTTGTTTACATAATTGAGAATGAAAGAGGACACGAGCTTTTAAAACACATATTCCATGCATGTAATACAAAAAATACTCCCTTCGTTTCAAATTGGATGAGATGTTTTTTTTAGTCTGTTTCAAAATAAATGACATATTTCTAAATTTGGGAATAATTCAACTTTAAACTCTTCATTTTACACTGAATGAGAAGTTTTTATAACCACACAAATGTCATGGCCCCACAAAATTTTTACCCCTTAAACTTTTAAGACTGCAAGTTTCAAAAGTCTTCTTCTTTTTTCTTAATCTCCGTGCCGAGTCAAACTAGCTCATCTAAATTGAAATGGAGGGAGTAATTTTTTAAGGCAGAATAGCCTAGTAGACACTTGTACTTATTTGCATTTGTCATCCCGGTCCCTATATTTAATGAAGTTTCATCCAGACACTTATAATTGCTCAAAGAATATTTTAAACCCTTCTGACCATTGACCGAGCATACGTGGCAACTTAATGGCTGAGTTGTACAAAATGCGTATATTTCACCCGTGAATATAACATTAAAAATAATAAAAATAAGAAAAAAAAAGTCAAAAGAAATTAATAACAAAAGCATACTACTCCTATTGTTTCTTTCTCGTTTCACCCCACCCCTCTCCCCTATTTTTTTGTCTCTTTATCCCTCTCCCCTTCTCTTTCTTCCCCCAACCCCTTCCCCATTTCTTTGCTTCTTCCGCCCATCTCGTTCTCCCCCACCCCAACCCCTGCCCCATTTCTTTTTTTTTTTCTAAATATTTTTGATAGAGCTGAGTTCCTTTGTTATTGTTTGTTTGCTTTGTGAATGTTTGTTTTCTGTACAAATTCATTTAATTTGATTGATAGACATCTTTCTTTTTTATTAGATTTGTACAATTGTTGTCATGTATAGATAAAATTAAATTTACTAAAATATGAAAGAGTGTAATATTAGAAACCATTTTCTGGGAAGCAAGATTTTAATGGGGGAAGCACGGGATTTGAAGCCATGAAATCGTGAAGATGGATGTGAAGTGCTGATTAAAGGAATGAAGATGGACTAAAATAGCGAAAAGAAGAACGAACTTGGGTGCTACTATGGTTGGGAAGCTTGGTTTTGAAAAGGAAGAAAAATGGTAGATATAAGGAATTCAGGTAGAGGTGGAATAAGGGTTCTTATTGTGGAGGAATTGGGAATAGGGGTTCATAGTGTTTTTTGGTGGGCAGAGAGATTTTCATGTTTTGTCAGTGCTAGAGGTGATAGCATAAGGAGAAGGTGGGGGTGAAGAAGAAAGAGAAAGAAAAATAAAAAGTTAAAAAATAAAATAAAAGAAGATGAAAGAGAGAACGATTATTTATTTTTTTTAAATGTAAAAATAAAAAGAAAGGTGATGTAGCATAATTTTATCTGACATGGATTCTAGCATCATGCCATAGAGAGACACGCATCGTCAGAAGGGTTTAAAATATCGACCTTGAACGATTATAAATGCCTAGATGAAACTTGGTTGAATACAGGGACCGGGATGACAAATGCGCATAAGTACAAGTGTCTATGAGGCAATTCTGCCATTTTTTAAAGTAGAGATGTATTTTTAATTACATTATATTCGATCATCCATTTATTATTAAACATCGTATATGTTTGAAAATTATTTTTTACTTTTTAAATTTGTAATAAAGATTTACGTGTTTTATAGGGCATATGCTAGTCCATAATTTAGATCTAAAAGGAGAAAAATTATGTCATCATATTAAAAAAGTAAAAAATCATAAATATTGATAATTAAAGGGTAATAAATAGTTGTCACAAAATGTTTGAAAAAATTGAATGATCTTTGGAATGTCATAGTTATAATTAAGTGACTTTTCTATAAAAACAAATAAAAACATAAGTTTATTCATTAATTTTATATAGTTGAATTGACTATTTGAATAATGAACTCAATAAACATATAACGTAGTCAATCACTATTCACTACAAACTTAACATAGATGGATCTGCTTCATTTTCCCATAAACAATATGGCATTGGTGGAGTCTTTCGTAACCACCAAGACAGTTGGATTATGGGTTTCGCAGGACAATCACAATCGGGTACAAGCATACAGACAGAACTATTTGCACTACTCATGGGATTGAAAATAGCTGTGCAAAAGAATTTCACACCACTTATCATTGAAACAGACGCCCGACAACTCATCGGTATGTTTCAAATAACTTTTATGCATTATACTAACATTATTAATGATTGCAGGTTGTTACTTCTAAAGCTGGGTAGCCCATCCATCTAACGTTTCTATAGAGAGCAAAATTGTGTTGGTGATAGTTTAGCTAAATATGGATCCGCGGATGCAGAGACTAACTGCATATTTTTGGCAAACCCACCACCTTTTGTCACACCCAAGGCACCCAACACAGGAGGTTTGTACCTGCTTCAACACAGCTGCTCCCTACTATATTTAGTTTTTGTAATACTAATGTAATATCTACTTATGACTTATTACCTAGTACTGATCCCCATGTTGGGGCACCTGTAGTAAATATTATGCACTCTAGTCTAGCCACTACGAAGCCTATGTTGCATCTTGTTCCATGTACTACTAGTACTGTTTAAATATCTATAATATATGTTCTTCCTTTCGACAAAAAAAAAAAAAAAAAAAGTAGTCAATCACTCCACTTCCTTATTTCCATTTTCTGATCAAATCATTTCTCAAATAAACACAAAATGTTTCAACTTCAATTACTCCTCTCACTTCTCACTTTATCTTTCACTACCCAGTCATATTCTTCCACGTCACAACTCTCCATCCTCCCATCAAAACCAAACTCCCTATCCATCTCCGTTACCAAATTCGGCGCCGCCGGCGACGGCATACACTACGACACCGTTCCAATCCAGAAAGCCATAAGCGCATGCTCAGAAGCCGTTTCCAAAAACCAGCGTCAATGCCACGTTATCTTCCCGCCGGGGAAATACTTAACGGCGACAATATTCCTGAAATCCGGCGTTTTACTGGATATTCACCGGAATGCGACGATTTTAGGAGGACCGAGATTGGAGGATTACCCGAAGGAGCGGAACAGGTGGTATGTAGTGCTGGCGGAGGATGCGGCGGATGTAGGGATTACCGGAGGTGGAGAAATCAACGGACAGGGATTGAAGTTTGTGCAGAGATTTGATGAGAAGAAAAATGTAATGGTGAGCTGGAACTACACCGGAGCTTGCCTTGGGGATGAGTGCAGGCCGAGGTTGGTAGGGTTTATCGGCTGCCGGAATATTGATATCTCCGATGTCAGACTCATCGAGCCTGCTCTTTGGTGGTGCGTGCCTTTTACTTTCTTTCTTTCGTAGTAAAACAGCAACTCATTATCTTTTTGAAAGGGAACTTTTCCTTCTTTGCATCAATAATTGTTATAGCTTTCTAAGTGCTCAGTTTTTGGTAAATTACACTCAACACTTCACTAATTTGTAGATATGCCTATTATATTTTAAAATCAAATACTTACATTATCTTTATTATGGAAATCTTACACATTATTAGTTTGAATATGATTTTCATTTTAGTAGATGTTAAATGTTTATTTTTGACAAATACTGGACATAAAATTACTGGAGAGGATACTATGCACGGTTAAGTCTTTTCCGGAGCACATATATCCTAAAGAAAAAGAGAAGGCCAAATACATAGAAAGCCCGTTAAACTAGGCCCAATTTTTCAGTTTGGCACTTTAACTCAGCCTTGTTCCATTTTGGCCCTCCAACCCCATTTCTTTTGTTCCACTTTGACACAAAAGTTGACTAGATTCCATGTGTGATTTGCCTCACCCTTGTAGGCGCGTGAGAGCCATTTTTTAAGCCAAATTTCATACTCCCAACGTAGAGGCGGATCCAGAATTTAAATCCTATGGATTCAATTTTAATATTTTTAAAGTTATGAGTTTATATCTATTATTTTCTTTACAATTTTGATGAATTTTACATACAATTTTTTACTCCGCGTCGAAAGTTATGAGTTCAGTTGAACGCGTAGTTATTACTGAAAATATATATAAAAAAATATTTTTTCCACGGGAGGGGGGCAGAAAAAACGAAAAAAATAATAATTTGAAAAAAAAAATTTTTGCGGGGGGTTGGGGAGGCAATAGGGTGGGGATGGGTGTAGCAGCTGGGTATTTGTCCGCGCTGCATTTTTACCTGGAATAAAAATTTTTGTGTCAAAGTGGAACAAAAGAACCCATTATATTTTTAAACGTTATGGGTTTATATCTATTTTTTTTTACAATTTTAATAAATTTTTACATAAAAATTTTCACTCCGCGTCTAAATTTATGGGTTCAGTTGAACCCGTAGTTATTACTGAAACTATATATAAAAAATAATTTTTCCCCAGGATGTGGGCAAAAAAACAAAAAAAAAATAATAATTTGAAATTACAAAAAAGTAAAAAAAAATATTAACGGGGGGGGGGGAGGGGGAGTGGGGGGGGGGTAGCAGCTGGGTATTTGCACGCGCTGCATTTTTACCTGGGAGAAAAAAATTTGTGTCAGAGTGGAACAAAAAAAATGGAATTGGAGGGCCAAAATGGAACAAGACTGAGTTAAAGTGCCAAAATAAAAAATTAAGCCAAGTTTAATGGTCCGTATATGTATTTAGCCAAAAGAGAAAGGAAAAGGATAAATTTTACTATCATACATATGACCATAGTTAAAAGGCAAACAAAAAAGAAATTAAAAAAAAGAATAATAAATAGTATATAGTACGGCTCTATCTCGGTAGAATAAAGAGATCAGATCACACGGCATGGAAAAAGAAAATCCAAAATGGCAACATTGACTAACTTTCATTAAGGAATCATACAACATTTATAATCAACACTGCCTGAATACCCCCTTTCTAATTTATTGAATTTATTTCTTTTTTAGTTTTTTCAAAAAAGAATGATCCGTTTCTAAATTTGAAAATAATTTAGCTTAAACTTAGAATTTTATTCTTAATGAGAAGCTTTTACTACCACACAAATACTCTGGGCCCCTTTTTTATTTGTTTAGGACCACAAATTCAAAAGTCTTCATTTTTTTCTTAAACTCCGTGCCCAGGCAAACAAGTTCACATAAATTGGAATGGAAGAGTAGTTTTTAACTCATAAATTATAAATCTCGTTCGAAAGACTCATGAGATTTGATTGTCATCAAACAATCAAATATTATACATTCAGACCTCTCTATAACAGCATCCCTATATAACAACACTTCACTATAAAAGCCAAGCTTTTTCGGAACTGTATGGGTCAGGATCCGACCCCATGATAATTAACGAAGTTAATCCCGTCTTAAGCTAATTCATGATTGATTAGTGGTACGACCACCCAGAATTAACGGTATTCAACCCTTATCTGATTCGATCAACAAGGCCACGACTCGTCCGTCATCATGAAGGCGAAACCCCAACGTGGTCACGGCCACTTATTGCCAGCTCACGAAGCTCACAGCTATAAATACCAAGAGAGGAAACCCTAGAAAGGGGGCTTCTTCTTCTTTACTATTCGAGAGAGAGAGAGAAAAAAAGATATAACGATACACATATTATGGGAAAGTGGAACATCATTGTAAGACTCTGGAGAGGCAGACCAAAGCAATACTATCAATAAAAGCTTTTAATGTCTCTCTTCCTAACGCTGAGTACTTATTTGCGCATCTTTCATTTGGTCTAATGGATTATTACGGTTTGCTATGATTTTCCCGTGATTTATTTATATTGTTTACACTCATAAGGTATATGATAACTTTTGAGCAAACAATTTGGCGTCGTCTGTGGGGATTTCCTAGCAAAACCGCGTAGTTCTTCCCTGGACCAAAAGGAAAGAAACGCCAAACTCGAAGGGGAACTCGAAGATCTCAAATCAAGATCCAAGTCCTCTCTCTCTCTCCGATCTCAGATAGTGCAAACAAAAAGAAGAACGCCCCCCCCCCCGAAGGGAGGATCTCTGTAAAGCATCTCCCGCATCCCCGATACGGGCTTCGGCCATAAACCGGCACGGAGATATCTCGAGCCGAGAGTCGCTTCAAGACAGCCTACATACCCCGATTGGGAAGACAACGTATAAGCTGCTCAAGGTATCGAATCAAAATCGAGCTTCAGCACCCAATACCCACAGCGTGAGACTCAGGATATGCGCCTTCGCCATCAAAATCGACAAAGTTCAACAATAGTTGAACTGGGACTCAGGCTATGCGCCTTCGCCATCAAATGACAAGACACAGTGAACTGGGACTCAGGCTACGCGCCTTCGCCATTAAATCAAGGCCATGCGCCTTCGCCAGTAAGTTCAACAACAGTTGAACTGGGACTCAGGCTACGCGCCTTCGCCATCAAAATTGACAAAGTTCAACAACAGTTGAACTGGGACTCAGGCTACGCGCCTTCGCCATTAAATCAAGGCCATGCGCCTTCGCCAGTAAGTTCAACTACGGTTGAACCAAGACTCAGGCTATGCGCCTTCGCCATCAAATTGACAAAGTTCAACAACAGTTGAACTGGGACTCAGGCTACGCGCCTTCGCCATCAAAATTGACAAAGTTCAACAACAGTTGAACTGGGACTCAGGCTATGCGCCTTCGCCGTTAAATCAAGGCTATGCCCCTTCGCCAAAAAGCTCAACTACGGTTGAACAAAGACTCAGGCTATGCGCCTTCGCCATCAAAATTGACAAAGTTCAACAACAGTTGAACTGGGACTCAGGCTATGCGCCTTCGCCATTAAACCAAGGCTATGCGCCTTCGCCAGTAAGTTCAACTACGGTTGAACCAAGATTCAGGCTAAGTGCCTTCGCCAGTAAGTTCAACTACGGTTGGCCCAAGACACAGGCTATGCGCCTTCGTCATTAAATCAAGGCTATGCGCCTTCGCCATTAAACCAAGGCTATCGCCTTCGCTAGTAAGTTCAACTACGGTTGAACCAAGATTCAGGCTAAGTGCCTTTGCCAATAAGTTCAACTACGGTTGAACCAAGGTTCAGGCTATGCGCCTTCGCCAAGAAGTTCAACTACGGTTGACCCAAGACTCAGGCTGTGCGCCTTCGTCATTAAATCAAGGCTACGCGCCTTCGCCATCAAAATTGACAAAGTTCAACAACAGTTGAACTGGGACTCAGGCTATGCGCCTTCACCATTAAATCAAGGCTATGCGCCTTCGCCAAGAAGTTCAACTACGGTTGACCCAAGACTCAGGCTATGCGCCTTCGTCGTTAAATCAAGGTTATGCGCCTTCGCCAAGGAGTTCAACAACAGTTGAACTGGGACTCAGGCTAAGCGCCTTCGTCATTAAATCAAGGCTATGCGCCTTCGCCAAGAAGCTCAACTACGGTTGAACCAAGACTCAGGCTATGCGCCTTNAGTCAACTACGGTTGAACCAAGACTCAGGCCATGCGCCTTCACCATCAAAATTGACAAAGTTCAACAATAGTTGAACTGGGATTCAGGCTATGCGCCTTCGCCAGTAAGTTCAACTACGGTTGAACCAAGATTCAGGCTAAGTGCCTTCGCCAGTAAGTTCAACTACGGTTGAACCAAGATTCAAGCTAAGTGCCTTCGCCAGTAAATTCAACTACGGCTGAACCAAGATTCAGGCTATGCGCCTTCGCCAATAAGTTCAACTACGGTTGAACCAAGGTTCAAGCTATGCGCCTTCGCCAAGAAGTTCAACTATGGTTGACCCAAGACACAGGCTATGCGCCTTCGTCATTAAATCAAGGCTATGCGCCTTCGCCATTAAACCAAGGCTATGCGCCTTCGCCAGTAAGTTCAACTACGGTTGAACCAAGATTCAGGCTAAGTGCCTTCGCCAGTAAGTTCAACTACGGTTGAACCAAGACTCAGGCTATGCGCCTTCGCCATCAAAGTTGACAAAGTTCAACAACAGTTGAACTGGGACTCAGGCTAAGCGCCTTCGCCAAGAAGTTCAACTACGGTTGAACCAAGACTCAGGCTATGCGCCTTCGCCATTGAATCAAGACTACGCGCCTTCGCCACTAAGTTCAACAACAGTTGAACTGGGACTCAGGCTATGCGCCTTCGCCATCAAAATGGACTAAGTTCAACAACAGTTGAACTGGGACTCAGGCTACGCGCCTTCGCCATCAAATCCAACGAGTTCGACCTCGCTCGAACCATAAGGCTAGACGCCTCCGTCCTCAAATCTAACTATTTCAACCACAACCGAACCGGGACTCGAACCAAGCGCCTTCATCGTTGAACTCAGCAAAATCCAACCTCCAACGAATCGAGGCGCAGGTTAGGCACCCTCGCCCTTCAAGTAAGCACTCCCAACTCAAACTAAGATTGGGGGCACGTAAAGTCCGGCCCCGGTCAAACTACAAGGCCGCATTTTTTATCATCACGGTCGGTAGTTCGACCACACCCGAACTGGGACTAAGACTAAAGGCTAAGTGCCGCTATCGCCAAGCAACGGCTCCGACTCGCTCACCCCGAGTCGAAGAAGAAAAGTCGTCAACAATCAAAAACTAACATGCCTACTAGAGTCAAACTCAAAGGTAAATCACCCCTTCGAACGCATGCAAAGAAAAATCTAAAGGGGAAAAAGGGGAGATACAAAATAAACACAAGGCAAATAACGGAAAGGAGATCTCATTTATCTACAAAGTTAATTGCGGGTCTTCCCCGCTTACACCCGGCCAAGGCCGATCAATACAAGGAAAGAGAAAAAAAGAAAAACAAGAAATACCTAAACGCCAAACGGCGAACAAGACAAGAAAAAATGCATAACATCTTTTTACTCGGCGCCATCCGCGCCACCATCTGCACCAGCGTCAGCCTCTGGCATCGCCGCGTCAAAACCACAGTCGGTACGGGCCTCACGAGCCTTTTGACGCGCTCCCTCGAAAGCAGCTTCGGTCATGATGCCGGCCTCCCACAAATTCTTATATACATCACGTTGGGCCTCGGCAAAGACCCAAAGTTCGCGAGCCTGGCTGGAAGAAGCGGCTTGGTCCCGTAGGCGCTGATTCTCTTCTTCTAAGGCTGTGATCTGGTCCGCCATGACTTGGGCGTCCTGCTCAAAGACACCGATCCGCTCCTCGAGACTCACTTCTCTAAAGGCCGCAGCAGCCCTCTCCAACGCCCGTTGGGACTCGTGCACGCGGATAGCTTCCTTCAATGCCCCAACCCTCGACGAGGCATCCCTCACCTGAAGCTTCAATACCGCGACTTCACCCAGAATTAACGGTATTCAACCCTTAGTGGTACGACCACCCAGAATTAACGGTATTCAACCCTTATCTGATTCGATCAATAAGGCCACGGCCCGTCCGTCATCATGAAGGCGAAACCCCAACATGGTCACGGCCACTTATTGCCAGCTCACGAAGCTCACAGCTATAAATACCAAGAGAGGAAACCCTAGAAAGGGGGCTTCTTCTTCTTTATTATTCGAGAGAGAGAGAGAAAGATATAACGATACACATATTATGGGAAAGTGGAACATCATTGTAAGGCTCTGAACCTCTTCATGGAGAGGCAGACCAAAGCAATACTATCAAATAAAAGCTTTTAATGTCTCTCTTCCTAACGCTGAGTACTTATTTGCGCATCTTTCATTTGGTCTAATGGATTATTACGGTTTGCTATGATTTTCCCGTGATTTATTTATATTGTTTACACTCATAAGGTATATGATAACTTTTGAGCAAACAGGAACCAATTTTTATATTATGTTATAATATATGTTTTTTATAACAACAATTCGCTATAACATACAAAAATATTCGGAACAAACGAAACTGTTATAGAGAGGTTTGACTGTATTATAATATTGTTAACAAATAATTAATTAGTCAAATCTTATCCAAGAAAAATACTACTTAATAAAAATAAAAAAACAAGTAATCCAATTTCGTAGTCAATGCCTCAATGGCTCAACACTAATAATCTTCATTTCCTTTTTTCCATTTTCCGATCAAATCATTCATTTTCATTCTCAAAAAAAAAACACAAATGTTTCAGGTTCAATTACTCCTCTCACTTCTCACTTTATCTTTCACCACCCAATCATACTCTTCCACGTCACTACTCTCCATCCTCCAATCAAAACCTAACCCCCTATCCATCCCCGTCACCAAATTCGGCGCCGCCGGCGACGGCATACACTACGACACCGTTCCAATCCAGAAAGCCATAAACGCATGCTCAGTCGCGGTTTCCAAACACCGCCGTCAATGCCACGTTATCTTCCCACCGGGAAATTACTTAACGGCGACAATATTCCTGAAATCCGGCGTCGTATTGGATATACATAAGAAGGCGACGATTTTGGGAGGGACGAAGTTGGAGGATTATCCGAAGGAGCAGAGCAAGTGGTACGTAGTTCTGGCGGAGGATGCGGCAGATGTAGGGATTACCGGAGGTGGAGAAATCAACGGACAGGGATTGAAGTTTGTGCAGAGATTTGATAAGAAGAAAAATGTGATGGTGAGCTGGAATCACACCAGAGCTTGCCTTGGGGATGAGTGCAGGCCGAGGTTGGTAGGGTTCATCGGCTGCCGTAATATTGAAATCTCCGATGTCAGACTCATCGAACCTGCTTATTGGTGGTGCGTGCTCTTAGCACTTTTGGTCTGCCTAAAGTTGCTTCCTAGTGAAAAAGTTTAGTATTGTAATTTTTTTTTGTTTTTTTGTGTAAATAGGAACTTTTCTCTTTTGGGTTTACTTTTAATAATTTTAAAATTTAATCAATTTTTTTACTGATAAATTTGACGAGACAGCCACCAGAAAGAGAACTAAAAGGTCCATTTGACAGACGGAATATTATTAAATGTTAACATAAGAATTTAAACCGTTGTCATTAACAGTGTAAATGTTTTACATGTTGATTGTTGAGGGTGGTATCGACTAGAATAGGTCTTTTTTTTTCTAGGTGAAGCACCCACTTTATAGTATGTCAGTTCTTAAATAAAATATAAAAGCTTTTTTATAAGATCAGAGGACAAAATTAATCGCTTGATGTATTTGTCCAAATAAAATGTACGGAAAAGGGTTTAAAATGACCCTAAACTATTAGAAAAGGTTTAAAAATACCCTTCATCCACCTATTGGGCTAAAAATACCCCTCCATCCACCTTTTTTGGTTCACTTATGCCCTTTGACCTAGCTGAATTAAAAATAATTAATTAAAAAAAATATTTTGCAAAATATTTTTAGTTTTTAAACTAATGCACCAGTAGTCCACTAATTTACTAAAGTCTTCTTCTTCTTTTTTCAGTTTTTACAAAAAACAATTCAGTTTTTACAAAAAAAATGTTGTTTTTCATTTTTTTCAGTTTTTTTAAAGCATTTTTTTTGTAAAAACTGAAACAAAAATTGTAAAAACAGAAAAAAAATTATTTTAACAAAAATATTTTCGTTTTTGAAATTTTTTTTTCACTTTTTAGAAAACAAAAATATTTGTTAAAAAACGA